GAAACCTTTTCTGGGTTCTGACATTGTTTCCATGACCTATTTACCTATTTTTTAAGGAATTAATTTGATTTTAACATCTTTTATATGGTATAGTTACTGATTTCTAGGAGTGACTTTTAAATTCTTATTGTTTTAGACAGTGTATTTGTCTGTTTTTAAAGGAAATTTAAAGTTTTTTTCTAGCCATATGCCTCCAATACTACCCAATAAAGAAAACTGGGCTGGAGAGATGGCTCAGCAGTTAAGAACACTGACTGCTCTTGCAGAAGACCCGGGTTCGAATCCCTGCACCACATGGCAGCTAACAACTGTCCACAACTCCAGTTCCAGGGGATCTGACAGCCTCTTCTGTCCTTTGTGGGCACTGCACAGCACAGGTGCACTTACCTACATGCAGGCAATACCAGCATCCACATAAAATAAAAAAATAATAAATATACTAAACTCCAGGGCCAAATCTTACAAGAGACTAGCTGCTATCAGAACATAGTTACAACAATGGGAGGGAAAGAAAAAAAAAAAAAAAAAAAAGAAATTGCCTGCTTGGATGGGAGGCTAAAAATTCAGTCCCTACTGGTCTTAATTCCTGCCTTTTGGGCATTGTGATTCCAAGTCTGTTTTTCAATTAAATAGAATATTTTTCTCTGATACTCAGTTACTCCAAGCTTGCTTTTGTTCTTCCCCTATCATGCTCTGGGTACCTCTGCTTTTCACTTTCTATTTATAATGCCATGGACAGACATCACTAGATATTGCCTAATCTTCCTAAGGTATCAATGACAATATAATGGGTCCTGCACAGGCGGGATCAGAGGTTACTAATACCCATAGTAAAAGTAACTAATAGGCCTAAAATTCCTCAGTCAGTAACTAAGACATTACAGTTTTCCTTAAGTGATTATGCTGGAGGTTGGTAAACCACTCTCTAAACTACATAAAGTAAAAAAGATTTTTTAAACTGTTTTATGTTTTCTATAAGGTTTATCTGGAAACTTATAAAACACAATGCATACACAGGTAAAATTAACTTATTACGCTATCTTATTGTGTGTAATTTGGATTCCATGCTCTTTTAATAAGATAATGCTGCATAGCACTCTCCTGAGCGAAATAACTGCCATCTATATGACTTCAGCTGTGCCTGCTTGCTAAAGAGCATCACAATTGGGCTTGTTATTGTTCTTACATTGAAAGAAGGGTAAGCAGGCAGGGTCATTGGACCCTCACCTGACCATCCAGCCACTCTTCCCAGCCAACTGTATGTAATTTTGCCCTAATCATGCATAGTTTCTTGGATTTGGGAAGGACTAAATACATAATCTGGAAAAGAATAGAAAGAGAAGGCTTAATCTATAATCTATGAGGTTTTAGAAAAGTCAATGTCCATACTGGGTAAAGGCTTTCTATTGTAAATACTCTCAGGTCACTCATATACCTCAGTAACCCCTCAATCATCTCTGTAAGTAAGCTCAGTAAATTCATTGGTTCCCCAGGGTAAACTTTAATGTAACCAAACATTGTTTAATATTAAAACCTTAAAAGGGGTTAAATGCTACTTAGTATCCCCAGAAAGAAAATTCTCACAACAGATAAAAAGTTTGTTAATGTTATTCTGTCTTGTGGTTATTAAGAAAGAATGGGGAGGTAAAAGATGTTAGAAGGATATGGGAATGGAGATATTTTTAAAAATTTATGTATAAAGAGTATGTTAGATATTTCCAAAATAAAAAAATTTTTTAAAGCCTAAACAAATAATAAAGGTCTATATAAGTTTGTTATAATATATAAAGGATGAGACAAAAATAATATACACATAATCTTAAATTTCTAAGGTCATAGTTTAGTCAACTAGTTTAAGGAACAAAATATATGTCTAGTGGTTTTTGCCCAAGCCTTATCTACATAGCACATGGTAATTAAGAATACCAGATTTGTGTAACTAACCTTCTTGGGTATTTAACAGCCATATTTTGAGGCCTGTACTAATCTGGCCAGAGGGACTTAAAAGGAAAAATTTTTTGTTCCTTTCCCTACAGGGTTGACTAAGGTCCAGGGGACTATAGGGCATCTCTTGAAATGTCCTGTAACTGTGGTAAATCACCTGTCCTCTTGTTCAGGGAAGCCATGGAGACCCCACCAGGTGGACTTGATTGAACCAGTGTCCAATCTGCAAAGAGGAGGGTCAAACACAGAGGAAACCATTTCCTCAGTACTTCCAAGTGAAGCCAGCCCTGGTTGAGCAGGACCTTTGACTTATCCTCAAATAGATGAAACTGGTAAAAGGAAGGCCTGAGGAGCCAGGCACTCCTCCCAAACCCATGTGACCCGTGAGGACCAGATCCTCAACCGACCAAAGGTAAAAGTAAATTAATTTGGGCCAACTGTATGGTCTTAAACACTCAAAAGGAAAGTATAACCAAAAATTAATCAGTATATTTAAGAGTTCAAAGAATTGCATTTCCCAAACATTAGACCTAAGTTCATGTAAAATGTTATTTAAACAACTGTTTCTCATTAATGATTTTGTTCTTAACAGGAAAATGCTGCTCAGGTGTAAGACTTCAAATCTTGGTCTACGATACTGTAGTGCCCACCTGCAGCTAAGGGAGACAACCAGCTATTGTTCTAAAATGATGGCTAAATTTAGTTTCTGTCCCTATCTAGAAGTCATTGAAAAGAAAACTGATTCTAGCCACTCCAACAGCTATCAAAGTGCCTAAAAACAAATCCTGAGCTCATCACTCTCGAGTCCAGCCTTGGTGGCCAAAAGGAAAATGAGGAGGGACCCAATAAATGGATGCTTTTGGAAATGCTCTTCAGGAAATTCTAATGGACTTTAATTTGGACATTTAAAATTTGCCCTGTTCTAACCTTTTCTGGTTCCCTGTCTAAAACTTGTAATGCTAACTAGTCTTGTCAACTTCTCCTTCACATCTCCCCGGCACTGGTTAAGGACTTTCTTTCCTCCCTACCATTAAGAGTTACACAATTTGGGAGTCTTTTAGATAGACCCACTGAAGGGGTACCCCAATTGCCACACCCTAAGTCCCTGTTCAGAATGGAAAAAGCCAGAGCAGTCTGTGTCCCAATTCCCCACTGGCAAATTTGGGGAAACCACTTCAGAGGATGGTATAATAAAAATAGGGGGTAAAAACTGGCTAGGCAATCAGGGTAAAAAGACCCCAAATAAAAGTAGGCAGCTTCTTTCTTGGCTAAAAGTCAAAATGTCCTTGGGCCTCTTAGCAGACTGGTCTGTATCAAAGTCCAGAAATATCAAAAAGTATTTAAGAGCTCTTGTTTAATTCCAAAATTTTAAAGGTTACCTTTTCAGAGAGGAGTAAGTATTAGAGCAACATATAGTCCCATTAGTTCTCAGGAAACCTGGGTTCACTCTTTCAAGCCCCTGAAACTACCGGATGGGCATGCACCTTCAGTCTTACTAAGTACATGGCTACAGAACAGCTAAAATGGGACATGTGCATATACTCATCTGTGTTCTCCCCCAGGTTTATCTCCACAGCAGAGAGAAAGGGTGGAAACACTTCACCTTAGCCCAGGTCTCTCAAGGGCCAAGAGAATTCCTGCCACCATCCTTGTGAAAACAGGCATTGCAGATTCTGATGCCTTGGTTCCTATAACCCTAGACATGGGTAATAAAAATTTTAGGCTTCTAAGCTCTCAAACAGAGACATCAGATGTCTACAGGACTCCATTGGGCAGTTTTAGAGACAGGTTAACTCCCTAGCTAAAATGGTGCTACAGAACAGAAGGGACTGTTCCTAAAAGAAGATGGCTCTTACATGGCCTTAGGTGAGGTTTGCTGTTTTTAAGCCAATAATTCGGGTGTAATTGAGTTTTACTGGGCCTTTGGTAATATTCCTTCTAGCTTTTATGGTGGGTCCATGCCTCCTAAATTGCCTAACCAGATAGATCAAGAGGCAGCCAAATGCCATCAAATTAGGGTTTTAAGGACCCAATATGAGCCTCAAAATCAAAACAAGTCAAAGATTTGATTTATGTCCCAGAGCCAGTGGGGAATATAATACCCTGAACACCTTCATTTTATGTAAGTTTAACTGGTCAATCATCTGGTCATAAGACCACCCCTGGGAAGGCGGGTTATGCTAAATAGATGTGCAGAATACCTAATGTGTTGACATAGCGACTTTTTCCTGCCTGTAATCCTGCCTATGGGGCAGAACTTCCTAGCTATAGCCATGTAGACTGTGAGTTGCCCGCTTCCCTGAATGTTTCAGGGAACCATAATTTCCCTTTTTCTACTTCATGCCTTTCTTACTAAACATGCCTTCTTTAAGGCTTTGGGCTGCCCCTAGCATCTTGCATTTCTTTACTTTTTCTCTGAAGCTTCCTTTTCCCAGCCATGTGGGGAAAAAAAGCCACATTTGACCTCCTCTCCTCAAGGCAGCTGCCAAGATCACCAGCTCGCTGGCCTTGAGGATTTTGTAAAAATTCTAATAAAGCTGTAAAAACTTAAAAAAAAAAGAGTGCTTTGCCTGAATGTTAGGCCCTAGGTTCAGTTCCCCACAACCAAAAAACTAAAACCAAACCAAACCCAAATAATACAAAAACCCCATAATAATTATTACTATTTGTAAAATATGTACTCTCAGCATGATTTTTTTGTGTTTTTTTTTTGTTTTTTGGGTTTTTTTTTGGTCTTTTTGAGACATGATCTCCTGATAGACCCAGCTGTCCTGAAACTCACTATGTAGACTAGGATGGCCTTGAACTAACAGAGATCTGCCTGCTTCTGCCTCCTGAGTGCTGGGATTAAATGTGTATGCCACCACACCTGGCCCTTCAGCATGAGTTTTAATTGTTCAAAATATATAATAATAGCCATCATATTATAAAAATATTCATCTGTAAAAATAGGAGATGGTACTAAGAAATTAATCCATACATTCTGCTGACTTTGCCTTTAAAATGTCTACCTTATTACTATAAGTAATATATTTGTGTTTCAAAGAATAACTTACCTTATCTTTAATTTTATCAGGTCTAGCATCTAAAGACTGGTTTTTGCTTTGTTCCTGATTACATTTTAGATTTCCTCCACCTGAGCTTGTACTTTTATTCTGTCCCATGGAACTTGAAGCAGGAGTGGATAATATCGATGTGTTGATGCCAATTACAGATGATGCACTGTTTCCATTAACTGAACCATTTATACCTTGAAAACAAATATGTTTATATAATGTGATATATTATTATACTGATATACTATTTGGTTATAAAAAGGAATACTGTTAAGTGAAAGATTCCAGAAACTAAAGGCCACACATGATTCCCCTACATGAAAATTCATAATTTATACATCTATAGGGACAAAGTAAAAACTAATAGTTGCCACATGCTGGGGAAAGGGATTTCTGGAATGAGGAAATGCTAGAACGTGATGGAGGAGTGGTGGCTGCACAAAAGAATTACAGTAAATTCAACGGAATTCTTCACTTTAAAATGACTAGTATTAAACTATGTGATTATCACTTCAATTAAACTTGTTTAGGAATATAAATTAAATGTAAATATTTACTTTTAGAGGAACTCCCATGACCACTTGATCAAACAAAAGGATGTAAGAGTATGTAGCACAAAGCTGTAGAAATGTCTTTAAAACTGAACTCTGCTGAAACAAGGCATAGGAACGAATGATTTCTAGTGCATCACCCATATTAACACTAGTACCTTTTTCAGGACCATTTCGACTACTTTTTCCAGAAGTCCTTGAATGGAATGAAGAAGAATCATGATTCTGGGCTGGAGGAGCAAACAGTGGTGGAATTCCCAGCAATGGTGGAAAGAAGGGTGCCCCTGTACGAGTGTGAACATCTGTGGTTCGCCACCATTCTGCACCTCAAAACCAAACAGACCGGACAAAAGGAACTTGAATTAACATTCTAATGAATGAAATGACTGTGTTCTATATTCTATTCCAGAAATATCTTTCTCCTTGCAATAGAATTGCTCAAATCACATAGTTATTTTAACATCTTTTAACAGCTAGACTTTATACATTCCTCTCTCTTATACTGGCCTAGTATAAAACAATCTTCCCTTAGCAGTTTTCTAGAAACTAAAAAAGAACATAAATGCTTCATAGTTTAAAAGATTTAACTGAAAGAACTACTTGACTCTTAATGGCTCACACCATATGTTCCCAGGGCTAATTAGGAAGATTAAGCCCATTCAATCTGTTTTAACACCTTAGAATTTAAGCTCAGGTCTGAAGAATGTCCTTCAATTTCATACAATGTAAATCTGGCTTTGACAAATGAGGTTGGTAAATAATACTATCAGACTAGTGTTAGTCCAGTGTATCTCAAAACTCATTTATGGAAGAAGACATTCTATTGTCAAAGAAAAACATAAAGAAAACTTTGTAAGCCTTTTGTTTTCTGTTTGTTTAGGCAGGGTCTTCCTGTAGCCCCAGGTAGACTGGAACTCCTTATGTAGATCAGGCTAGCCCCAATCTAACAACAATCTGCTCCTCAAGTGCTGGGCATAAAGGTATATACCACCATGTAGGGCCCTCCTAAGCCTTTTTGGTTTTGGCCCAAGAAAGAAGTTCTCAAAGAAAATTCCAAAACCAAATAATTTTGCATTAATGTGTAAGACTTATAAAGCTTCTGGTCTTAAAATTAATGAAGACAGATGGCATTTTCGTTACACTTCTCATAAACTATAGGTGACATGATTATTTTTATCAACATAAAATAAACTGAAAAAAATCATGTAATGCAATTCAGATATTCAAACAGTAGTATTTAATGAACACTTTTAAGAAAAAGAACATTTTATAGAAATTTTTTCAAGGAAGAGTGAAGATTAAAAAGAGATTAGAGGGGATGGAAAGATGGCTCAGCAGTTAAGAGCACTGACTGCTCTTGCAGAGGACCTGGGTTTGATTCCCAGCACCCACATGGCAGCTGCAAACCATCCTTAACTCCAGTTCCAGGGGAATCCGAAGCCCTCTTCTGACCTCCGCAGCACTGCACGACACAGGTACACTCACTTACATGCAGGCAATATACTCATACATATAAAATTTAAAAAATTAAATTTAAAAAAGAGATTAAAATATTATCCAAAAAACAGTTCTCCATTTCTCCAATCAAATCTTGGACACAATCTTCAATTGACTAATCCACTAAATTTCAAAGAATGTTATCTTTCTGATCAGTCTTCCAAACAATATAGCATTATTTCTTGGACTGAAATAACACAAGGAAATCCTAAGAAAATGTCCCGTATCAGTCCCAATATTATCAGTAAATTATACTACAAGATCTTTAAAGTTCTTCAAGGAATATGCCTTCAGCACCTAATGTTGAAATCTGGCTTTTAAAGAAAGTAAAATATTCAAGGTCACTGCCATTCCCAGAGGTCTAATAAGCACTATAAGCAAAACACTGAACAGACCATTATTGAGCATTGTAGGAAGGTGTAGGTAGTGAAATGATGCCCTGAATGATAGGACTTAAACCAAAAATAACTATATGAAAACATTAGTCATTCAACACTATCTAGAAAAAAATAAGTACATTTATATAGGGAAAAGGATCTGTATTTTGGGCTTGTATCAACATAGTTCATTCATATGGCATTTACAGGTTTGAAAATTAAGTTCCACTTGACTGATAAAAACAGACTGAGGTTTTCTAACAGTAGTTATATCATTTAGTATGGTCAATTAAAGTTGAATGTATAGATTTAGTAAACAACTAAGACAACAAAAAATTAGTCAAAGCATAAGATTTAAATGTGATAAATATGATCACACTTCAGAATGTCAATAGTAAATAAGTGTACATTAGGCATTAGAGAAAATAAAGGAAAATGTATGCTATGAGTAAGATGACACCAAGGAAAACACAAACAATAAGACCAGTTAGATTTTTTTTAAAAAAAGAAGAAAATGATAGTTTCTGAAGATAAATGTCTGATATTATTTCATAGGAAATAGAACTGTTGAGTTTTAATCTTTGAAATATAAGAAAATGAAAAATTTTAGTTACTAACTAGCTTATTGATGAAATGAAAAACAGAAAACAAAGATAAACAGGTACATGATGAATTTCTGATCAAATTCAAAGTAGGGATGACAGTGTAGCAACATTGATCATTTTCAATGAACGATTCTAATATTTTAGAGAGAGACTACACTGAATCTCAATTTGAATATTCAGAAGATGTCTTTGTGGGGTTTTGTTTTGTTTTTTGAGCCAGGGTTTCATTGCACAGCCCAGGCTGGTATTACACTTGTGATTCTCAGCCTTCCAAAGGCTACAATTACAGTCAAATGACAGCATGTCTGGCTCTGATACGGTAGAATTTTAAAATCACTCATATCTGAGAAAGTCAAACACATCACAAAAATTCATGATATCACAACATTAAAATATATCAAGAATTATAAATATTTTAAAGAAATTATGAAAGAGTATTTCAATATAAAATGAAAATTTTATGGTACTAATATCCATTAAATAATTTTATATTTGTAGTTTGAAATGAGGAATATTTTAGAAGTGCATAAACGTCATAAAAAATTATACCTCACTTAAAAGAGTAAGTTTCTTCTTATTACTGCATTTTATTTATGAGGAGTGTTTTAAAAAACTGGCAATTTGATTAGCCTTCTGAATTATAGAGAATTTACACATTTAATTGCATCAAATTATAATTTAAACAAAGTGAGTTCTCTAAAATCATAATTTGGAAAAGGAGTTTCCTCACAATTGCATATTTTCATCACTAATGACTCTGTCTTATAATTATCTGTCTGTCCCCCCAAAAATATAAGCCACAAATATATTATGTTGGTGTGGTTTTCCATTAACTGGTTTCATATACAGAACATAATAGATGAATTAGTGAATAGCACATGAATGGAAGAATTATGTTGTTTGTTAATTTCTTTTTTTTTTGGATTCATTTAGATAGTTATTTTGTGTGAGCACACACATATACTTATGCGTATATGTATATGCCACTGTATGATATGGTGTGCATATGGAGGCCAGAGGACCACCATAACTGATTCTCTTCTTGTGTTGTGTAGGCTCTGTGGACCAAACTCAGGTCATCAGGATTGGTTGGGGGGGTAAGTCCCTTTTCCCACTGAGTCACTAACTGAACCTACACTTATTTTTTATATTATTAAAGGCCATATGATATTTTAGTACTTATTACCATCTTTTCAGTGTAAAAAGTATATAATTTTAGTACAATAGTTTTAAGAGGGTTTAGAATTATTTGAAATGCAGTACTATAATAAACTGTCACAGAACAATAAAAGTATTGAAGACCCAGGTTCAGTTCCCAGCACCCACACAGAGGCTCACAATAATTTGTAACTCTAGTTCCAGGGAATCCAAAGTCTTCTGGCTTCCATTGGTTGGCTTGGATGTGGTGCATTTACATAAATGCAGGCAAAACCCTGATAATGCATAAAAATAAGAATAAATTTTTAAAAATTCTAAAAAGGAGCAGTACCTGAAATATAAATTTAACTATTTCTTCTTTCTGTATATAGTTTTTAAAAGACACTTGATGGTATCAAGTATTTCTTTTAAAAAATAAAGTGGCAAGAGTAAATAATAACAATAGTTAGGAATTTTGGACTAACTATGTATGCTGGGTGCTGTAGGTAGCATTAAACACACCCGTCTTCCTTCACCTTCACAGCCACCCTGGGAAGCAGATGTTGTCACTGTTGTCATTTATGGCTTGAGAGAACTAAGGCTGAGAGGTCAGATGACTTGTCTAAGACCAGATTTAAATTCAGATCTATTTCTAACTGGAACGATTTAAAGAATGTTAGGTTAAAAGAAGTTTCTTTTTACAAAAGTGTAATGAACTAATATTAATCACAATCCAACTCTATTTTGGAAATAATGTATTTAAAATATATTTTGGAAAAGTTCCCAAATGTATTTTAGATATTTTTTTTTAAATATTTTATTTATGGGGGCTGGAGAGATGGCTCAATGGTTAAGAACACTGTTCTTGCAGAAGACCCAGGTTTGAATCCCAGCACCCACATGACAGCTAACAACTGTCCATAAACAAGTGCACTTACCTACATGCAGGCAATACACGCATACACATAAAATAAAAATAATAAATAAAATATTTTTAAAAATAATTTATTTATGGGGCTGGAGAGATGGTTTGGCAGTTAAGAGCACTAACAGCTCTTACAGGACCTGGGTTGGATTACCAGCACCCACACGGGGGCTACAAACCGTTCTTAACTCCAGTTTCAGGAGAATCCGAAGCCCTCCTCTGACCTCCCCGGCATTGCATGACACAGGTACATTCACATAAATAAAATATTAATATTTAAAAAGTTTTATTATTTTCATTTTACATAAAATACAAAAAGTACACATAAAATAAAAAGTAAATAAAATATGTATTTTAAAATTATTTTTCATTTTATGTGTATGAGTGTATTGCCTGCATGTATGTGAGTGCACTGCTACTGTGCAATGACGGAGGTCAGACAGGGCTGGATTCCCCTGGAACTGGTGGTAAGGATGGTTGGTAGCCACCATGTGGGTGCTGGGAATTGAACCTGGGTCCTCTGCAAGAGCAGTCAGTGCTCTTAATGGCTGAGCCATCTCTCCAGTCCCATATTTTAGATTATTTTTAAAATATGGAAAAATACAGAAACTTAAGAATCAAGCTCACCTTCCTTACAAGGTAAAGATAAATAAAAATGTAATGCATAAAATATTTTTTACAGGAACTGGACTTTAGTTTTACACTGTAAATTAAAAAAAAAAAAAATTTCAGAACTGGGTAACTAACCCAGGGCCTCATACATGCTAGGCAAATGTTCTACACTAAGCACATTTCAAGCCCAAGTTAATAATTTCTTTAAGCATTAAATAAAGTGGCTGGGGAGATAGCTGAGTCAGTAAAGTGCTTGCCACATAAGCATAAGAACCTGAGATCAATTCCCAGCACCCATGTAAAAAGTCAGGCACCTGTACTGAAATGGGGGAAAAGAGGGTCCCCAAGAGGGTTCTTAGTCTTATTCATAAAAGAATTAAAGAATGGACTCAAACAGCAGAAAATGGACAGACTTACAGAGACCTACATGACTGTGGCTGGTCAGAAGTTCTGCAGAGTTCTGCATTACAAGGCGGGATTCCAGGCAGGAAAAATTCGCTATTAGGCCCAAACTATGGACATATGGTGTCTTACTTTAATTAAGAGACAAAATGACCTGCAGTAACAGTAAGTGAAGGTGCTTTGCAGACAATGATAAGAGTGGCACCATCCTTTGAAATATTCTGGAAAAAATGTTATTTTGTACCCTTTGTATGTTCAGAATATAGCATTATCAGAAACCCTCAAAACAAATTAAATTAAAAAAAAAGAAGACGTCAGGTACAAGCCTCCAAAGCAGAAATAGATAGATCCCTGGAGCATGCTGGCTGGCCAAACTAGTCAGATCAGTGAACTCCAGGTTCAGTGAAAGACCCTGTGAGTGACTGAGGAATACACCTGACTTCAACCTGTGGCCCTCTATATGTACCTTCACACATCTACAGCCACATACATATATGCACAAACACAAACATGTACATACATACACCACATACATATACATGCAAGAAATATCAAAGCTGAGAAAAATTCAAACTCTACACTCACAATATTACATTTTTCTGTATAGTGTACTTCAATAAAATGCATCAGAGACACGTTAATTTTTCTGTTCTTTGACAAATGCTTATTTATCTAAGCAAATACCTGAATACCTAATTAACTGCTGCATCATCTAACACAGTGTGTTTTACTTTTCTGTATGTGATAATAAGCCAATTCTTGTACAAGAGATTAATATAACAGACATTAGACTAATCTTTGTTGTTCAATTTAATAAATCAACTGCTTGAGCATTTTCAAGCTTTCGTCCTTTCCTTGAACACCATAACAGATGTTTACCTGGAAAAGATGCTAGTTGGGGATGTGCGGCTAAGGCTGTGGGTGTACCAAGTGTCCCCAAACCACCAAATTCTGAATGCCCTGAGCTGGCTGAATGTAGACCAAAGACTGGGTGGCTGACCATTGGGAAGGCACTCGACACTGTGGACAGGTTAAACGGCTGATCCCCAGCTGCTCTGAATAAATGTCCTGGGAGGGAAAAAAACACACTTAAAGTTGTTTAAAGAAAACAGATGAAATTTACCTGATTTCAGCATTCATAAAGTTTATGATGTCTTATTAAAAAGTATTTTACATTTCCTCTATAATTTGTACTTCTCAAGTATTATAAAATATTTCTAGAAACACAAAAGTACTATAAAAATTAATCAAAATAAATAGAAGATCTTTAATTAGTATGAATTTCAGATTTTAGGACCGATGTTTTAAATAAATCATTTTTATTATTTGAACTAAGGAAGTGAGGCCAGTTTGTTGCCAATACATGTACATTCATATGACACCACACTTTCTTGCTCTTAAGAAGGAAAATAAAACCATCATCTTACTCTAACATTAAAAACCAATGAAATAGATCCCAAACCTGTTATCAAGTCATCATTCAACTTATCAGACTCTAGGCAAAGTGATTCTGTTTTCATGTGCCAAAATTGAAGCTCTGTTTCCCATCGAACTTTTGGTTGAAAAAAAAGTTTCTTGATTCCGAAAAGGAAAGATACATTAGCCTAACCAAATAATGTACAAGTTAGCATAAGGAGCTAATTAACAAACTTACTAAGGTACTTCTAAATGGATTCAAAGATAATTATCAACATAAAAATGATTTTAAACCTTCTAATACTAATGCGATATAGAAATAAGTATGATTTTTAGTGTCTACTTTTATTCTAAAGAGAATCTAGTACTAAAAATATCATAACACCATCAAAAACACAATTTGTTTTTCAAATTTTGTGGGCAGCTTCAGACAAACTATCTTTCCTGTACTTCCAGGAAACAATTAGGGGTCTCTGACTTCCTATTATGAAAACAGAATATTAAACACAGCACTCCAAGTTCTTTTAAGAATTTGCTTTGAATATGTGCATGGTGAAGCATCTGCAGTCCCAGCACTCTGGAGGTTGAGGCAAGAGCATTCAAAGTCCCAGGCCAGTCTGGGCTACATAGGAATTCATGCTTAGCTTCAGCTATTTAGTAAAATCCTCTCTCAAAAACAAACAAGGGCTGGGGATATAGCTGAATTTTAGTGGTAGTAAAGTGCTTGCCTACCATGCACATAGCCCTGGATTAGAATTCCCAACACTTGTGGTGGGTGGGGGATTTACTTTGTGAATACTAAGCACTCTGTGTATAAACAGAGTAAAACTCCTCTGGGGGTGGGTTATATGCATGCTTATGTGTGTATGTAGGGGCCAGAGGTCAATACTGGGTATGTTTCTCAGTTGCTTTCCATCATATTTTTTGAGAAAGGGCCTCTTTCTGTAACTGGAGCTCATGGATTTGGTTAGGATGACTGCCTAGTGAACTCCATGGAATCCCCTCCCTGCATCTCAGCCTCCCTAGTGTTGGGTCACTATGCCTGGCTTTTTCATGGATGCTAGGGAAGCACAACTCAGGTATTCCCTTGATTGAGTCATTTCCCCACCCCCATGAGGAAATTTTTAATTGATCATATATTAGGGAAGGCAGGTCAACCCTTATAATCACCAATAATATAATCAAAAGTATAATCACATTAAAATGAATTCTGTATTAATAAAAAAGCATTGGAGCTGGAGAGATGGCTTGGTGGTTAAGAGCACTGGCTGCTCTTGCAGAGGATTTGGGTTCGATTCCCAGCACCCACATGGCACCTAATAACTGTCCTTAACTCCATGCAGTTCTAGAGGATCTGACACCCTCTTCTGCCGTGGTGCACTTACATACATGCAGGTAGAATACTCATACACATAAAATAAAAATAAGTAAACTTTAAAAAGCAGAAGAGTATCTTTTTATACAAAATAGAACATGTCAAGTAGAATCTATTAACTTTCCAAATATAAACAAGATTATTTGAATATGAGAATGTCTAATTTTTTGAAAAGTAAATTTTTCCTACACTAATATACTTAATGTCAGTATATGCTCCCAAATAAATGTCAGTATATGCCCCATCTTGATTAAAAGCAAGTTTTTCTCAAAAAAAGTATTTACAAACTTGGATTACTTAAGATTATACCTACTCCTTTTTAATAGATGATATTCAAACACAGTTTCTGTTCTATGCATGCAAATTTTATTTGACTTTAGGTCATATTTTAACAGATAACTAACCATGTATATATTTTGGATAATGAAAGTTAAATATACATCTGCAATGCCAAGGTTCTCAAATGATAAGCTGGATACTTTTCAGCAGAACTTTTTAAATTCTATTAGTCAATACAGACAAAAGTACAGCGGAAGGCAAATGCCCGCATGTGAGTAACAAAGCATGGTAATTACCTGCATCTTTATTAATATCAGAGAACAGTAAGGATTTTTTTTTCTTTCACAAGAACCAGATAATATAAATACTGAACTAATTCCTTGAACTTAAACTACCAGTAAGCAAAGTTCCCTATGTCCATAAGTCATATTAAAACAAAATAAGTGTGAGGAATAAGTATGATAAGCTTCTAATCTTAAGAAAAAAAAAAAAGAGGGGCTAGAGAGACGGCTCAGCGGTTAAGAGCACTGACTGCTCTTGCAGAAGACCTGGGTTCGATTTCCAGCAGCCACATGGCTGCTACAACCATCCTTACTCTAGTTCCAGAGGAATCTGAAGCTCTCTTCTGATCTCCACGGCATTCCATCACATGGGTGCACTCATATACACGCAGGCAACACACTCATACACATAAAAATAAAAATAATAAAAAAATATTTAGAAAAAAAGAAAAAGAAACTCTAATTTCACATGCCTTCTTTTGGGGGGCGGTTAGCTAAAATGCTCTTAATTTTTCAGTGCCACACAAATTTGTTGCAACATATCTTCAGTTCTTTGAAACTGTCAGCAAAATTTTACAACATTGCAAAATCCTTTTCTGGCATTTAATCTATAAAGTATGGGTAATCATAAAAACTGGTAGTTCATTCAAATAAAGATCTCATGAGGACTTTTAACATTAGTAAAAATGAAATATTCAATCAACATGAATATAATTGATATTTCTGTAAAATGAATATTCAAATATTGTATAACATAATAAATTTTTAGACATAACAATGTTTAAGTATTCTGAAACTCAAAATGTATAACTAATATAAATCTGAGCTTTGATTAATGAACAACAGAAATAATTCTATACTTAATGTTCACAGAATATTTCACCTCAAGTAATCTTAATTTCATTCCTGTATTCTCATATTTGGAGCCAGTTACGTTTTACATTTTAATATTTAGAGAGATAAATGGGATGCAAACAGATTTATTTATTTATTCATTATTTTCTTTGTTTTTCCTTTAGATAGGGCTTTATAATGTAGCACAGGCTAGCCTCAAATATACTGTGTAGCCTTCTTTAGTCTGCTGAAGGCTGGAATTACAGGCATACATTACCAACCTAGCTTATTTTTATTTTTCAAGTATTATTTTGAGAGTATTTTACACTCACAAAAATTGTAGGAATTACATAAGAGTTCGTATAGATGCTCCAGCTAGCCCCTCCTAGGTTAACTTTTTACATGACTACAGAACAAATTTCAAAGCCAAGAATCCTGGTTAACTAAGTAAAGGATTTTTCAGCTTGAACCAGTTTACCTACTAACATCACTTCTTTGTCCCAGGAACCTATCCAGAATCCCATACTACATTTAATTTGAGCTTTTAATTTTCTCTAATCTGTTACAATTTCTCAGTCTTGTCTTTAGTGACAGATAAACTAAAGAGATTTGAGTCTGTCTGATGCTTTGTAATGAGTGGAAGAAGTTATACATTATTGAGAATGACAGATACTCAATGAGCATGTCTCAGAGCAAGATACCTAAGGCCCATGATGTTTCTCTATAGCACTGGCTAAGCTAATTTTGATCACTTGATTAAATTGGTGCCTGCCAGGATTCTCCACTGAAAAGTTAACTTAAATTTTTTTTTCTAATTTTTTTTTCTTAAATTTTTTTTCTTTTTTTCATTAAAAAAAAACCCAAAACATTAAAAGCATAGGTTGCTTTAGGAACCAAAGCTGTTAATTTATACCACTCAATCTTAAAAATAGTTCCTCCTTTGTAATAAACATTTGTGTAAAATATTGAAATGCTAAAAAAATAAACAATATTTTATACTTTCTTACACATATTTAAATACTGCTATATGAAATTTTAATAAGGAAAAACTAGGAATTATTCTAAAATCTTGTTTTACTTATTTTTCAATAAGCAAGAAAAGTCTGTTTTCTCATAATGAAATTATTAAAACCAGCTTTGAAAAACACACAATATCTATTACTTGCTAGGGCTGCCATAATAGCATAGCACAACTGGGTAGCTCAGGACAACAGAAGTGTACTGCCTCATAGTTCTGGAAGCTAGAAATCTAGTCAAGACCACAGTAGGACTGTTCTCCCTGGCTTCCTCTAATACACTAGGCAGGATCTGTTCAGTGCCTAGTTCCTAGTTTCTGCTGTCCTTCTTTGTCCTCAAATGTGCTTCTCTTGACCTGTCTGTGTCCAAACTTCCCCTTATGTGAGGACACCAGTCACAGATTAAGGCCTACCTACTGACCTCATTTTAACTGTTCTATCTCTGTAAGACCCAATCTCCAAGTAAGGTCACAGTCTGATTGACTGGGAATTGTGCTCCAACATACCCCCTACACCCCAGGAGGACACACTTTAATTCATAACAGATGGCTCATTTTTATTAATACTTAACTGACTTGGATACATTACTTTCCTTCAATAACTTACTACTAAAATCTTAAACTAAAACTAAAAAGTTCTAGCAGTAAAAGTAATTTCAAAAATATTTAGGGCCTTGAGTATAACTTCTAAAGAAACTTCTTTTATGAAGAGTTAGACAGGGGCTAGGAAGAGGGTTCAAAGGGGAAAAACTGCTTGCTGGGCAGGCTGGATCAGCTGAGTTAAATAATTGGAATGCATGTAAAAGGACACATGTGGGAGAAGCACATCTGCAACCTCAGCACTCCCTAAGGTTGAGATGAGAAGCAG